GCTTGCCTTGCATGCATGAGGCCCTGGGTTCGATTCCTCAGCACCACATAAGCAAAAAGAAAAAAGCCGGAAGTGGTGCTGTGGTTCAAGTGGTAGAGTGCTAGCCTTGAGCTGAAGATCTGAGGGACAACGCCCAGGCCCAGAGTTCAGGCCCCACGACTGGACCCCCCCCAAAAAAAGGCAATAATTCTGGTATAAAAATTCAAACATATTTTCCTATACTTGTCAAGAAGTTTGAGAACATTAATCTCCTTGAGTCCAAATGCCTCTTCTGTATAAAATAGTGTTGAGGGCTGGGAACATGGCTCAGTGGTAGAGTGCTTGCCTAGCCTGTATGAAGCCTAGAATGCATGAAGCCCTGGGTTTGATACCCAGAAGTGGCACTGTGGCTCAAGGGTAGAGTGCTAACCTTGAGCAAAAGAAGTTCAGGGACCATGCTGAGGCCTTGAGTTCAAATCCCAGGCCTGGCAAAAATGGTGTACTTGCAGAATGAGATAAATGTGTCAGTATATTGCAGTTGGTGCACAATAAACACAATTTTCTTCCTTTTAGAGTTCCTATCCTTGGAAAGGACAGTGGGCCAAAAGACCTGAAAGACTGTAGGAGAGCTACTATGTTGTGAATAAAAGATAAAAGTTTACTTTTGAACAACTTACCTTTCAGAATACTTTCTGAAAGTATTCTAGCTAGGCACTGATGGCTCATGTCTATAATCCTAGCTGCTGAGTAGGCTGAGATCTAAGGATCAGGATTTGAGTCAGCCCAGGCAAAAAAGTCTATGAGACTCGTATTTCCAAATAAACTACCAAAAAAGCTAACATGAAGCTATGACGCAAATGATAGACTGCTACTATAAGCAAAATTAAATTCAGGGACAGTGCCTAAGCCCTGAGTATAAGCCCAAGGACTAACATACATACACTTAAAAATAAATAAAAGTAGGGGTAATTTTTGAAAATACTAGAAAGATGCTCTCTTTTACAGTACATATACTAAAATTGGAATGATACAGAGATGATTAACATGGCCCTTGTGCAAAGATGACATGCAAACTCATGACACATTCCATATTTATATGGATATAGATACACTGTCTAAAGTATGGCATACATGTGGATTCCCATGGTGTAGAACTCCTTTGAACAATTAACTGACAGTTTAACAAAATACTAGGAAGCTGAAGCATGGTTTATCTGACTGAAGAGAGGAATAATGGGTGAATACAATGATAATACTCAGTGTACATATTTGGATATGGAACAGAGAACAGCGCTTGTAAGCCACAGCAGCCAGCGGTGGAAGAAATCCAACCTGTGTGTC